ATAGGTACATGTACATATTAATAGGTACATGTACATATAAATAGGTACGTGTACATATTAATAGGTACGTGTACATATAAATAAGTACATGTACATATAAATAGGTACAGGTACATATAAACAGGTACATGTACATATAAACAGGCACATGTATATATGAATAGGTACATGTACATATAAACAGGTACATGTACATATAAATAGTACATGTACATATAAACAGGTACATGTACATATAAATAGGTACATGTACATATAAAAGAAAGATACATCTTAATATGCATGTTTTAATGATTTCTTTTTTGTGTGTGAACAGTTTTAAGAGATCAAAAAAACAAAACACAAAAAAGATAATTCGTAGTTCTGGCAAATGGTAAGGAATCTCAGAGTACAATCTTGTTAGCATGTACGTCAATTACATGTACAAATTGTCCAGAAATATTTCTCGAATGTATATTTAGTGCAATAATCCTTAAGTTATAATTTCATGTGACCTTTTATGCATGCATCCTTAGTTATACAAATGCCCAAGTTAAGAAAGAGCATTTGCATTCAAAGTACAGTCGTCCGACATCTATGGTTGCATTTGCCTGAACGTCTTGTCCCAAATTAAGAAAGCAAAATCGACGTCTCTTCGGTAATTAGGCGTGTGGCGCTGATACAAGCGACAGAGGGCAATAATTTTATACGTCGGCGACATTTTCCTAATTGAAAACGGGGCTTTATAACTTCCTACATTGATTTACATTTGACAGATTTCACCAAATCAAAGTATAGAATGACTGTCAATTTTACATCAATTCGAGGACTAAACTACACATTGGGTCAAAAGATTCACATTGTTTAATGTGTAAATCAACAATAAGAAATATTACAAGGATTTACAAAGACCTGCTTAAGAAATTTTACTGATATTTATTGTAGAATTGAATTATGTAGTGCTAGTCGTTCGAAATGTTTTATTTTCCACCAAACCCATTTTCATTTAATAGGAACTTAAGATATCACATATCGTTCACGAAAGACAAAACTTGCTTTTCGGAGGTTTCTTTGAAAGGAAAACAAAAACACCATGCATCCTTAAGAAATCTGGGAAAAATCACGACTATTTAGATGGATCTAGGTAACATTTAAAAAATAAATAATTTTCTGCTGATAAAAAATTATACATTGCCGTCTTTTACCACAAAACCTTTGGAAGCTTTCAAGTAATCTATCAACTTACCACTTACTTAATACAATTTTTTTGATAGAATAGTTTTCTTAACAGTTCAAATATATATATATATATATATATATATATATATATATATATATATATATATATATATATATATATATATATATATATATATATATATACTTAAATTAATTCTTATATTAAGAATAGGAATAAAACACGTAGGTTTGAATATGATTTATTATCTGATGATAAACCTCCCAATTTCTAAATACTACTACCATGTCCTTTTCCGTATCTACGATATCAAACACTCTGTCAAGCCCGGAGAAAACTGCGGTAATGTATAAGGCATCATTTGCAATGACGCCTGAAAATCTCTTTTATATAGATCGGTAGATTCATCAACGTTGCTTATTAGAGGATATACAACATTGATTGGAAGAGAATTTGTCAGAAATATTTATTTCCGTATATATGTATTCTCAATTTTCTCTAGGGAAAAGTCTAATTAGTCATTTCCAATAGATTTATCTACTATAATTAATAATAATTCATTTTCAAAATCTCTGAATTATTGAGATGTTAATCTTGAAAATAAAAAAAAAACATACGCCACACATTTCACTAACAATGTATTATAACTCATCCAACAGATGTCATTTGAATGGATTTGACTTGAAAGAAGAATACCTTTGTTATGTACATGTATGTCAAAATTTTGCAGAAGAAAGTTCAAAGCATTTGATTTACATATCATTTTGAAAAAAAAAATCCCATGAACTGACTAGAACTGACCAGCATCACCGTGCAAAATTAAATGTTTTAGAAATCTGATTTTGAACTTCTTTCCTCACTTCAATATGTTTTAAGGAACCTGCTGTTCACTCAAGTTCCGGCTTTATACCCATTTACTCGCCAACTACAAAAACTGATTGATTTTGATATTTACAGAAGACCTCGTATCATACTTAGAACTCTGCAACAATGCTATAAAGGAGACAATGTCGATCTAATGGCAATTTTCTATGAAAGAGGTCTACAAGTTTTTGTGGTATCGCTACTCATTACATCATATTTATATTTTTTTCAATATTGTTTTGACATGTGACTATATCTCTGCAGAGGAATGAATTATTTTCGTTATGAAATGTGTATTTTGGGTTTATCTCACTGCAATATGTCTACATAGGAAATTGAACCTCTTTTACGGACAAAATTATTGAACTAAATGAGGAAATGTTATCGTTGATATTATTTATGGCAATTTCAGTGAACTTGGTGAACGCGATTCGTTGGTAAGGATGTCGATTTTGTTTTTAAATGTCTTATATAGATAAACTTTAGTGAGGTGATGATAGTATATTAAAACTGAGGCTTGCACCACCTCAAATTTTGGAAATGTTGAAAAAAAAGATACTTTTTTCCTGCCTACTGCCACAAAATAATAATTTCAACTTGTGAAAGTAAATATGGTAGGCGTATTTCTGTGCATCTATGCATCTATTTCTCTCTAGGAAACATTTAATGGATAGATAAAATAAAAATGCTTAACATAGGTATTTAAACTAACATTATTCGACCGACGATTTCTACTAATTGAAATATTTGCTCACCATTTGCCACTTGGGAAAAATGCATTTAGAATTGGCATTTAGATTACCGATTTGAAATACGACTTCCATATTTTTATCAAGATAGCTTTCTTTCAGGTCATGATAAATGCTCTCGGTAACACAAATGCTTGCCTGACAATCCAACATTTAGTGAAAAAAAACATAAACCAGAACCGTAACTTTTCCTCCTGCGGGAAATTTTCAATTTTCTGGTTACTGATGATTAAAATAATTGAAAATTCACCAACATGCATGGACACTGTATTCAAATGAAATATTACCATATGCAGATGGTCTCAGAGAAATAGATTTAAGTGTTGGGATTTTAAGAGCAGACTTGGCTGTGTTTGTCTCAAACGTAAATTTTTATTTATAAACCACACGAAGGGATTTTGTTTAGAATGTGACTAAGCCCTTTTCCAACATACATCTACATTAAGCCTTGATTTTCAATGAGCAAAGTTATATAACATCGTTAGAATCATCTGCCGTATCTGTATAATTGCTGTAAAAATCAAGTTTTCGATATTAAGTGCTGGACACAGATTGTCCCTTTGCCGTCTTGTGGAAAATTGCTGTAATTGGATTCTTCCAGTTGGAATTCATTTTTCATTCAAAGCTGACTGTCAACAAGGTACATTTGATTTTTATACAGTATTTAAACACACTTCTACATTATTTTTTGTTACCCTTTGAAATACACACAATAAGAAAGTAAATAAATAAATATCAAAAGCAAACAGAAAGGCCCATGGATCACAACGCTCACCTGAGTCACCTTGCTGTTACTCATCAAAAGATTTTTAAAAGATTTTCCCCTCATTATTCCCATGAAAAATGTTGACACCATACTATGGCCCTTCCGAGCTCCAGGGGTCCTGACTTAACCAACTTTAAAATAACACATAGATGCTTCAGCATTTACCCTGCATACTTCAAAATAAAAATAATAATCCCGAATTTTAGGCCCACCCTGATCCCAGGGTCTTTAATTTTATGAAACTTTAATCCACACAACTTATAAATGTTTCTTTATAAATAAATGTAATTTAGTGTGGTCCTGCTGCTCTTGATTTTTTTTTTTAGATTTACTACATGTACATGTATATTTTTCATATGAAACTGAATCCTTACCTTAGCCCAACGCTAGCTCGAGGGGCCATGATTTGAGTAACTTGAATTTTCACTTCTGTGATGCTTGCACATTAAGATGACTAATCATGGCACTGCTGTTTTAAGTAATATTTTTAACACTTTTCCCCTGCATAATATACTGATGACTTCACCAGAGTACACCCGATAGACCGGACGCAATTCATAGCGCTCCGGATTTCTTTGTTCACAATTGTTTATAAACTTCAAATTAAACATGTAACACTATATTTAGTGTTTGGTAGTTTAGTAGTAGTGCTAGTTGTTTTTGTTTCTCTATTTCCTTTGTTTTTATGACTTCTTAACTTTTTTCTTTGTCCTGAGGAAGGGACAGGTCGTCCCGAAAATTTGACAATTATTATTGTTAGTGTCGTTGGTCATTTTTAGTGCTTTATATATATATATATATATATATATATATATATATATATATATATATATATATATATATATATATATAATATATATATATATATATCAGAGTACTGTCTTATTTCAACCAAATAAACACTTCCTTCTTTTTTTTACAATATGGTGACATAAGTTTCTTTCATAAATTTGCACTAGTCAGGTTTCTGAACAAATAAAATAAATTGTGAATCAAAGATGCTATTATGTTGTCGAATCAAATGAGGAAAAGTTTAGAAGACAATGTAACAAAATGCAAAGGTAATTTCGTCTTATTTATGACACTTTAACGATCAGTTTTTAAAATAAACTTGTAAACTGGATTTCTTCATCGTCAGCTTTGTGCAATTATAAAAATTCCCATGAGCTACCTCGGGAAGAAAGGGGAATAGTTTCTTTCAATTTCTTAAGAAGTGGTTACAAACATCGGTTATAGAATATTAAATAGTTTGTTTAATTTTAAGACAATATATGATATCATTAGAAGTGGAAGAGAAATTAGATAATATGGGCAGTGTGCTTTGCTGTTCAGTTTAAATGGTATGTTATGTAAAACCCTGGTTTTATGTTTACTAAAAATTACTATTTAAAGGACGTGAGCAGATTTAATTTTGAACATGCAGTTAATAATAGAATTGCCTTACCTTCCAGACAGGTAAATATATAACAAGATCCGCTCAAAGAACAGCTAGATTGTCTCTGATTAAACGATCTTCGTTCTCATTCCAACTGCATTACAATCTGTAAAGACAGATGTCAAAGACTTAAATTTGTCAAAACATTGGTCTGCATCGAGTTGTTACACAATATCACAGTCAATAACAGGAAGTTAGCCACAGTTAAAGGGAAAATCGTGCATAAGTATTTAATAAAAAACATCACAAGGTATAATGATAATGAAAATGACTGCTGGTGTGCTTTGATGTTGATCTAAATAAGAATAAGATTCCGAAATAACAAACCATTGATCTAGGTTGTAAAAAATGAAAGAAGTCGATAAAGTTGCCAATACATTAACTAAAAAATCTTTAATTATTTGCAATCAAAAAACATTAATGACTATAAAATTATGTAAACTGCATCAACATCTGAGACAAGTTAACGGTAGAATTTCCGAACAAAGTGCAGCAAAATCCCAATTAGTAGTCTGCCATAATATTAATAAGATCTCAAATACCTTTTATTTAACGTAAAAATAAATATCAAATCCCCGTGTGACCTTGTCTATGGCAACTCAGGACGATAAGACAAATTGTGCTTATCTATACTTCTGTTAAGATCCCTTTATATAGAGGTCGAAGAATGCAAATTAAAACTTTTGCATACTGGTGCTATCTGTTGAATATTTTGCGTCCTTTTGCAGACTTCCTGAATTGTTAAAAGTGATAAGAGGTCTCATGACGTAATTGTGTTTCTTACACTGATTATCCTGCTCATAAATTGAAATCTGTGTAACAATCGGCGAATAAAGTACATTAACAACTCATTTGAATTGTGAATATCCATCACGTTATAGCATAAACTGATGGAATGTTTTTGCTAACGAGTTATATGAAGTCACTGCTAATAATAAACTCGAAGAATTATTCCTGTATTTACACTGGAACACAAGAACGAAAAGCGCGCGCGTGTGTGTGACCTTAAAAAATGGAACAATGGGGAAACAGACAGACTGACGGGTCAACCAAAAAATGTTCCGAATACGTCAGCATTTTCTAAGGAGTTTGTTGCCAATATCGTTAATTTAATATAAATCTTTAATTTTTGATAGTTCTGTACGTTTCAAGAACTTAAACATACTATTCCTTTGAAAGATTGATTTCACTCAGAAACTCATCAAAAATTCTTTTAATTTTTTTTTTTCAAACTTGTAACTAAATTGAGTTTCGGCATGCGGCATGGTCTGTGGTATTTTAAGGGAATACCGCATATAGTACCTCCTGCAAATGTTATTGACAAAATTTAGTTTTTGTCAATGAGGTATTCCAAAGAAAGTAAATGAAGGCTCGCTATATATTAATATACATTTTCCTTGAATAAACATCAATAGATAGGATAGGATTCGTTATTTTTTTTTTTATTTCAAGAAGTATATTTCAGTTCTAAAAAGTTTATGGGATACGAACTCAGACTTTTCGCTCATGTATATTGCATGAAGATCTGATGATCAGAAATTTCTACCCGCTGGCACAGCTTTGAGTAAAGTAAATATAGAAAATATCAAATGTTTCTCTTTACTTTAATCGGTTAACCAGAAGAGATGTAACTCATAAATACTGGGTCAATTATACAAATAAACATGATATTGCGGAATCTATAATATTAACTAAATTAAGTGGTAAAGCGAAATCTAGATAAAGGCGATTGATGTTCCATCATTCTTTATCGTTATAAGACATTTTTATTAACACTTATATTTCCAATATAATGGCATAAACCTGGGATGTGTAATTTTGTAATCGGTTTTTTAAATTTGGATCTCTTCAGACGCTTGGAAAGAAATTACGCCACCAAAAAATTCAATTGACTCTCTGTAAAGTGAATATGATTATTTATATTTTGCTGAAGTACAATTCAATATCCATTTACACAGTGAACTGTGTTTGTTTGCAGTTTATATTGCCTTATTACACCCTTGTGCATCTGCTACATGACGATCATATCTTAACGTGCAAATTACGCAGTGCACTGCTTTAACCATCTGTTCTTTAAAATACCTGCAATTCGAGATACGGACTTTTGAAGTCTTGTGTTGTTGCTTCTTTTACCAGATAATCGGACATAAATTTCCTTTTATTTTTTATGTCATTATTAGAAGAGAAACAATTTCAATTCTATGAAGCATTTTTAAACCAATACTAAACTTATCTTCATGGGCGTATCTTCGATGTATCCTAATATTAATAACCCAAGTTCTTAATTCTTAAAAGCAGAGCAAAATGGGACTTGATCCTTCTCTAAATATTCAATTGAAAAATCCCCAAAACAAACAGAGACAAACCTTTTTCAAACATCGTAATGATTGATGCTTAAAGAGAGTCTGAATTAATCAATGTTATTTTTAAAAATAATAAGAGTTGTCTATGGTCATCTTATAATTTTTATTCCCCCGTAATCAAAGATTCGGGGACATATAGTATTTGGTATGTCTGTTTGCCCGCAAAACTTTAACCATAGCCATAACTTTTGAATGGTAGGGACTAAGGCTTTTATATTTCACATGTGTATTCCTTGTTTCGAGACATTCCTTGGGTACCAACATTTTTAACCTCCTTGCCTTAGCCTTGGAGTTTGACCTACTCTGGAAAAACTTTAACCTTGGCTTTAACTTCTGAACAATTAGTGCTAGGGCTTTCATATTTCACATGTACATTCCTTGTTACAAGACCAACATTTTTGCCTCTAACCCTGACCTTTGACCTTCTTTTGAACATCTTCAACCTTGACTTTAACTTCTAACTAGTTGATGTTGGGGTTTTCATATTTCACATGTATATATTCCTTGTGAGAAGATCCTTCTTTTGGTACCAACATTTTTTACCCCATGACCTTGACCTCGGAGTATGATCATCTTTTGAAAGACGTTAACCTTATTAATGAGCTGACATACGGGGGCATCAGTGTTTCACGAACATATCTTGTTCTTCATTTGGAATACTTAAAACATGACATTGAAAAATAATTTGTGAAATAAAAATACATCAGCCTTGGTGAATGGAAGGAAGGGAGATCCTGCTCTCTAGGCATTTATGAATTTAAAACTTTACTGTTAAGAAGTCATTTTTACTAATTTAAAAGTCATGACAGTAATTAAGAAGAGAACAATCAAGAAATATTTCATTTTAGTGTGATATTAAACTCTCATACATGGAGCAAGGTCACAATTTCGTTTTATCCAATATGTACGAAATTCAAGATAAACAGCTGATATTCGAATTACATTTGTCAATGTTTTCAATTGTGTTTCTTCGGCGAAGTTAATTTGTATCCAGACAAGGATGTAATATTTCTTGGCGATCCCAAGTGCAATGAAGAACAAGACAAATGAATGCAAACAGCTTCTGGTATAATTTCAATTACAGATTCAAATATAAACCTGTACATTCTCGTGTAATTAATTAGAATCTCACCACCATAAACATATTGTTAGTGTCTACAAGACGTAAGTTTTGGAATGGAGTAAAAATTAATTTGATCCAAGCTTGTCCTATGCATTAACCACATGTACCTTAGTAGAAGCTATCGACAAACATTCACAGAAACCCAAACTTCACTTTCCATATTTTGCTATAAGAAACCATCTAAAGATGTAGTTAAACGCGCTTCTTTTTCTTTCAATTTCACTCACCTTTGATAAGTTTACAGATGAAGACCCCGAAGAGCTGTGTTTTTCAACAAACTAAACATATACATATATCTGTTAATTCTTCCCTGTCGAATGCTATAATACACCAGGTATTTTTCATTGCATTCAATAGTGTACATGATGTAACTGTTATCAATCTATGAACATATGGTGGATTTTAAGATAGGACAGCTTTTGTGACGAGTATTGTAACACGATACGTGAGTCCCGTCTACAAAACATCTATTCATTCTGACGGTTTATTACATACAAATAATACTGTGTAATATGAATTTTCAACGTGTATACATATTCGACATTTTAAATAATTGAGGTCGTTCGACATGAACTACTGTACCTGTTAAAGCTTCCTTTTATCATTATAAAAACTTCATTTTCTAATTTGTGTTGAGTGGTTAACGAGTATTGAAATACACAACACCGTCACTTTCTTAACAACTAGCGATTACAATACAGAAATGAGAAAATTGTCCAGGGACGTGGAATTTTACCTAAAATTTACTGTGTAAAATTAAATGTGTTTTTAATATTGCTAGATTACAAATGATGATTTATGCTGATCAAATAAACTTCATGCTTCTCCTTTTGAGTCCTATATAAAAACAAATTTTCTTTAAATCAAACAAATGACAATTTATAGATAAAATTTCAGTTTTGTAATTCTTCATCTGTTAATTAATGCTGCCCTATTAAGTTCTTTGCGATTGTAGTAACTTCATAATGTTTTGTGTAGTACATGTACGTCATAGCAGGTTTATCTTTACTTTATGGTTTAGATGCCCCGTAAACTAAAACATCTGCCAGTCTTATTATTATCTTCATGTTCATCTTTTTATTAACCTTTTATTCTTGATAAAAGCTAGGATTTCTTTATTACAGACAATAGAAAATAGCTTATATAACAGAAATTATTCAATTCTGAGTCTAAGTTTTAAAACCCTTAACCGAACCCTCTTGACGGCGAAAGTTGCATATTATTTAAATTTTCCAATGTTTCACTGCCATTTAACATCGAGACTTCACTTTTCCTTACACACAATCAAACAGATTGTGTACAAAAGGTTGTATCAAAAAAACATAAATTCCCACCTATTTTTCATATTTTTGCGACATTTGGAATATAATTGCCTCTTTACGACTCTCGATCAATAGTTAAAAAAAAAAAACTTTAATCATAGAGGCATTTCTTTATTTATTTTGTTGGTAAAAATGAAGAAAAATGAGCTTCCTGCAGATGTATATTGGCAGGTAAAATGTTTATATACATGTGCAAGAGATCTTCAGCCACCTGACTATGTGGGGTGTACGAACTTTTTTAGACTGACTTCATGGTGAGCTTAGAACGAAAAAACAATGGATACTGACATAAGGGAAGTCTTACCATGCTAATCATGGGTCATGGACGTTGTGTATCGAGTGTCAAATTAAGCTAATATTGTTAACATCAGTCTGTAAAAGAATCCGTAATGGAAATCAGAGAGAACATCTACATATAATGTAAGTGCTAAGTTTGATTAACAAAGATCCCAACCTAATTAGTAGGGCAGATACATAGCACAGAATCTTGAATCAATAATATTTAATCTCAAATAATGCTGAAATCATGTTTATAAAATGAGTGAAAATCACATTTGCGTAAGCTACAAATAGGAATAATTTCCTTTATATTTCTTCTTCCTACTTAGGGTAAAAGTTTATGACACATTTGATTAGCATTCAAGTAAATATCTCATTTCTTTTTCCATTAGCTATGTGTACGCATCTTTCAATTTTTTTCAAGGGATATCTAATCAAGCTGTGTTTAAAGAAATTTGTGTATTTTAGGTAAGGTTTTATTTCAATCGCTGAATACAGTGTATACATTTCAGAAATCATAGTATTTTTTTTTACCTGTGACCTTTGCCCCTGGTCTGGAAATTATTGTAATGATTAAACTAGGGCACGAGAGAAAAAAAATCTCACACTCTTGACTGCTGCCGTACATATTTCAACAATTTATAAAAATTCAGTTGTATTTATCTATTCGTTTTTGAATAACAAACTTGACGAAGACTTAAAAAGTACGCAGTAACAGTGTTAATGAACAAACGAAAATCCAACACTCACTCACGCACACTAAATTAAAACAAAGAAGAAGAAATACAAAAAAATTAAATAAATAATATTTTTTAAAAAACGAAAGCAAAGCCCCCCCCCCCCCCCAAAGAAAATTCTACAATTCCGCAGACCTAATCTATAGGTACAGTGTAAAAGTGTTTTAGCGAAAATAAAAAAAAAAGACATGCATGCTTATATATATATATATATTTTAATTCTTCAAACTTTGCAAACAAAATAGAAAAATGAAGATGTTTAAATATCCACAAAACTGTTCAACCTGATATTTCTTACTCTGATTTGTTGATTTAAATTAAATACTCACCGAGCCACAGATAATCACCGACTAAAAACTTTGCAACTGCCTGCTGATAAGGATTCCTCGATAAGACTCAAAATGTGGGATAGTAAGCGTGGTGGAATGGGCTCATTTTGATGTTTATAATTTCCTACTGTATAATAATAAAGCAACCCTTCGTCTTGGGCTTGTTTATTGATGCAGACTCCGAAGGAAATGAACCTATATGAATTGTCTGTCGCCTTTCGTCATGTCTTCGCCTGGCATCCCGCCAACAAAATTTGAATATAGTGGAATATTACAACACTTTCTGTGATACAGGAATAATTTTAGGAATTACTAATAATTCTTATCCTCTTTTTTTACAGCTGTTTTGAAAACTAGTTTAACATTGATCGTGGCTCCAAGGACTTCTAATCGTATGCGCATTTCTCAATTCACATTAATAGTGACAAAATCTGGTTACCAGTAAATGATGTGTGGCGGTGGCTGAAATAATTGCCCGCTAATGTGGACGATTATATTAATATAACTTGCAAAAATCCTTGTGTTAAGTTAATTTCACTGTTGTAGATGTACATATACAACAAGGACAAAATTCTAATGACAGCATCATTGAGACACATCTAAAAGGATGGATCTATGTATAACTCTTTCCCCTTGAAAACGAGCACGGATATACCCGGAATAGAACGAAAACAGATACTAGTAGTTTTGATAGATATGTATAAAATGATCTATTTTAACAAATTTTCTTTATGAATTTAATTAATGTCATCTTATAATAATACTTATGAACTTTATTTCCAAAACTTAACAGAAGAGAAGAAGCAATGCACTCATTGTCAGTGATCAGCTGGGGTGCCAGGAACATGATAGATTGGAGATGCATCATTATTTTAGATGATTATGTAAGGACCACATATACTGTAAAATCGCTTATTTTCGTGGGTTCAAATTTTTGCAGTTTGAGAAAAAAATTATTGGTTCGTAAGGATTTGATTTCATGGTTGAAGATGTGTAAAGTTGTTATAGATGAGAATTTTAACATTTCGTTGTGGACATGAATTTGTTGGTTTCTTCATTCCACAAAAACAACGAAAATAAACTTATCGAAATTTAGTGATTTTACAGTACTAATCAGAGTACCTCATATTATCAGATGTGGATACTTAAAAATTCCAAGGAACTTGTGGAAAATTTGAAATCACAAGAATTTACCAAAATCAACAGCTTAAAAACTTACGACTTTTCAACTTTATACACAACCATTCCCCACGATAAATTAAAGTCCAGGCCTTTTGATATCATTGACAGCTGATTTTTTCAATAAAATGGAACTCGTAAATTTACTTACCTTGTCATTGGTCATTTGCAAAATTATTTTGTTAAAAACATTCTGATTGTACACACAAGTACTCTGAAGTTGACATTAAAAATATGCTTGAGTTTCTGATTGACAATATCTATGTGGTTTTTGGAGACCAGTTCTTCCAACAATCTATTGGAATTTCCATGGGTACCAATTGCACCCCGTCATTAGCAGACCCTTTTTGTATTCATATGAAGCAGAATTTGTCCAAAATCTTATACGTGAAAAGAAAAAAACACTTGCTGTGGCCTTCAACTCGACATTTAGATATATCGACGACGTATTGTCAATTAACAATGGTTATTTCCATTCTTATGTCGATACGATATATCCCGGTGAGCTTGAGATAAAAGATACCATAGAGTCTGACACATTTGTTTCATATTTGGATATTTTACTTGAAAGAGACATTTAAGACTTTAACTTTTCAATCGTCAACTTCCCTTACTTATGCAGCAATATACTTTCATCACCTGCATACGGGGTATATATCTTTCAGTTGATTCAATACGCAAGAGCATGCTCTACGTATGTACAATTTCTAAAACGAGGTAAATTATTGACAAACAAGTTGATGAAACAAGAATATCAGCAGTCTTGTAAGTTCTATGGTCGATACAATGACCTTGTCAGTTTTTCATACTAATTGTCAGGCCATTATTTACACACTGAATTGTCGACGGATTTTTTCGTTATTTCCCGATCATGACAAGGAGCACACGGCGGGTGTGACCGGTCGGCAGGGGATGCTCACTCCTCCATTGCACCTGATCCCACCTCTGATGTTTTGGAGGTCCATGTTTGCTCTGCTCCTATTTTGTATTGTTTAATGGACTTTTGAGCTTGAATACTGTTCGTTATCTCCATATATTTCATGATAAACATACAATATAATAAAATATCATATCATAAAGAAAAGAACTGAATATAAAGGAAGACTTCAAATAATCGAATGAGCAATATATATATACAATGTAATGATGAACACATTATGAGAAGTCCCGTTCCATACAACAGCAGTCTGCATGTGTTTATTATATTGTATGCTTATAGGAATTCAGCAGAAAACAGTACATTCTTAGATATTTATCGATTATCAATTTCAATTTATATATTTCGCTCAAAATGGTTTGACTATGGATTTTATGAATCCGTCATCACTTATTTCTCTGCAGATATTTCTTTTAACAGAAGTATCTAATATGCTGCCCTTTTTTGCCTTATAAAACTCCTCCCCTCAAACGAAAGCAATATGAAACAATTTGTGCTAGAGAGGGGGTTTTAACAAACTAATTACACAGCACATCAAAAAATACTGTATCAAGCTTACCCCCTCATTTTCTTCATCTTAGAAGCAATAATACTGTTATTGCTTGATTATAATTAGGGCTACTTTAACTCAGCCAAATAATGAACTAATTACATACATGCTACATCCAATGGTATTCAAAGCATGCAGTTGATTAAGCTTTACCTTTCTGTCTGATTGTTAACATGCAGGATGAAAGACTTGACTTAAGTCGATTCAACAATCTTAAATAATCTTCTATGAGACAATGTGTCTCTCCAGTCAGATTAATCTAATTTTTGTACTACGTCAACCTTTTTAGGCCAATAGTTTAATTTTTTTTATCTGGGAAATTTTCATTTGGTTCGGACTCATAATCCAAAAATGAGTGTCAACAATGTTGCAAAACACAGTCATTTGACTGTCATTTCTATTCATAAAATAGAGATGTGGACACATGCCATTATTGACACTTTAAATGATTATTGCAGCGCAAGTCGGAACAAAATATCCGTCAAAACTCATTTCTTGCGACTAAGCCTAATTACAAAACCCGTAACACGAACAACAAGGCTTTACTAATGGATTCAGTGCAGTTAAAAGAACTTCGTTTAGAATGACCCAGCCAAGTATTACAACATCTTTTCATTTAATGCTCATTTCTTGCTCATTTTTAGTTTAATGCTCATTTCTTGCAATGTTTGATGAATGATATTTATATGTAATTTTATTAATCCATTCAAGTAAAAGTTGTCTGTAAGTACAGTTTTAACCATTGTCTATTATTGCTCGCATTTTATATCTGGCCTATGAATAATAAATTTGGCCAATCAAGTGCTTCTCAACGAATACTCTTTTTACATCCTTTTTTAGTTGTATATCACTGAAACTCAAAGGTGTCAAATGCAATTCGTGTCCTCTTTGTATATATAACAAATTTTCAATGCTTACCTTTTAAAAAGATAATGAACTGAATACACCCACTTCTAAAACCTAATTTTTGCTAAAATTTTACTCAAATGAAATATGGAGAATATAAAGTACAGTACAATGTAATTAAGCTCAAAACTCCATTGAATCAATACGAATCGGGGGCAGAGCACACACAGACCTCTAAAAATATCAGAGGTGGGATCAGGTGCCATGGGGGAGTAAGTATCCTATGTCGGCCGGTCACTTCCTTTTGCTCCTTGTCTTGATCGGGGAAACGGAGAAATCCGTAGAAAATTCAGCGTGTAAATAATGGCCTAACAATTAGTATGAAAAGCGTCAGTCAGCATTCGACTTAATGAGAGATTGTATTTGATAACAAGGTCTTTGTATCGACTATAGACTTGTGAAATGATGACTTTAACATTAAAAATCACATATGTATTTGGTCAAAATATTCCCGTCAGAATTTTTAATTTGCGGTTTTCAGGTGAGCCCTTTTTAATGCTCATTTTACCGGTGATTTGGGGTGGGGATGGGTGGGGTGGCGGCATCTGCATCATTCAGTCCATGAATTCTGAAGAAAACGAACAAAAATCAAGCTAAGCAATCCAATTCATCATGATAAATTAAGAGCAGAACAATTACAATTCCTGGAAAGATCAAAGATTGAATTAGGTGCCATGCAGGACCAATCAAATCCCTCATGAGCCCTCCGTCTTGATCGGGTAAACGGATGAAAGTATGGTTTATTTGTATTAAGAGCGTTAGTCAACATTCGACCTAACAAAAGGTTGTATATGCAAACTTGGTCATGGTATCGCTCATAGAATATGCAAAATGTTGAATTTAAACGAGATTGTGTGCACTTATTGTGCTCCTTTATTAGCTGACTTGTTTTTATGTTCAGCTCACAGTAGATAATCTCCTGAACTTTTGAGAAGAAAAGACTTGCTGTGACCTTCAACTCGACATTCAGATATATCGACATTTTATTAATTAACAATAGTTATTTCCATTCATATGTCGAATCGATGTATCGATCCAAGTGAACTCGATATAAAAGAAACCAGAGAGTCTGCCACATCTGTTTCATATTTGGATATTTCAATGACTATAGAGGATAAGGACTAACGTTTAGCTATACCGTATGACAAACGATATGACTTCAGGTTTTTCATCGTCACCTTTCCTTATTAGTCCTCAAAATGATGAAACTATAGGTTTCCTCTTCGTCCGTCCATCTGTCTGTGTCCGTTTGTCTGCCTGTCAGTCTGTCTCACTTGGTTTTTCTAAAGGCTTGTAGATTCAGCTGATTTTTTGGTATGTGAGTTATAGATCTAGTTTGCCTTTTGTTCCGCTTCAATGATTTTTGACGGAATTACGGAATTTTCAATTTTTAATTTGAGACAAATTACACTTGCCAGTAGGGGACTAGTAGAGCTACATGTAATGCAACACTCTCATAATGTTTGTTAATGTAATTATATTCCACTATCACCTGCATAAAGTGTTTTTGTCTCCCAACTTATTCAATACTTAAGAGCATGCTCCGAGTACGATCAATTTTTTAAACCGAGGCAGGCTATTGATAATTAAGTTCATCAACAATC